AACAGTGGGTCCTCACCAGGCTGTGCAGTTTATTGTTTAATGTTTATTGTATATTGTTTATTGTTTATTTACTGTCTTAAATGTGTGTGGTGTTTAATTTACATTTTGTTGTTCTTTGTTTTTTTTATTCAAGTGCATTTTTGTTAGAGACTGAGAGTCCACTTTGTTAAACATTCTTTAAAAATGAAAGTTTATTGATTTATTACACTTACTTAGTTGCAAAATGGTCACCAGGCAATATTATCGCTTATCGCAATAAATTTTGAGACAATTAATCYCCCAGCAAAATTTGTTATCGTGACAGGCCTACTTGACACGTTTTCCCCAATCTTTTCATTTTGGCTTTCTGTCACTGTTGGTTAGACATTTGGCATCAAAATAATTTTATTAGAGTTATAAAGAATACTCTGTTATCTTAAATCTTTACGTGCCCCACTGTGTGAGGGGGAAAAGCTTCTGGGAAACATAATTTTTCCACAAGGTCACCAGAAGTCGATTATCTTTAAAATAAATGTTTGAATAGATAAATTGTAGTCAAAGCTTACTCAAATAACATATGGTGCCATGTTTTTATGGGAAGGACACTGCTGTGGAATCCACTAACAATGACATGATGGCAGATTTCAAACTCTGATTCACATCAGCTGCAGCAAATATGTTTAGACAGAAGGGATACCTGAAGCGTTCAGCCGTAGCAAATGAAACGCTTAGAATCATCTGTTTCCAGCCTGTTCATATTGTAAATAGAGCTTTAAAAAATGCATCTAAATGACCCAGAATTACAATAAAAATGCAATAACTTCCCTCCTGCAGTGTTCGAATACCCTGTTCTATTACTGTTTATGGGCTAAGATTGTTGTTAAAAAACTCTAATGCATGACTGCAGTTGATATTGTTTGTCTGAGGAATACACTTTCTTTTGATTACCTCTCAATGCTGTCTCCGTAATTTTTTGAGATGAAATCCCTTGGAGCGTTTGACTTTGTAAAGAGGCACGGRGAGCCTGTATACATATGCTCAGTTTCTAATCTCATTACGGAAACTCGCCACGCTGAAACTTATTATCTTTAAATCACAGCTCAGCGATAAGATGATTAAGTTGTTTGCGGGAAAGTGCGAGTCGCCGAGTGTTGGAAGACGACGCTTTTGACAGACGTGTGTGAGAGTCAGAAGGATGGAGCCGTTTTTCCCCAGGTGTGTGTATAAGTGGACTGGGCAGCCAGCCATGTCTGCCTACATTACAGCACCAGTAACAGCAGGGGACGGCCGACAGACTAAATCTCCATCTGAATGTAAATGTGACAGAGCCACAGCCCCGCTGCGGATCTAATCAAATTGCCGGCCAGGGAATAGCTCACACTCACATTTACCTGTGTGTGTGTGTGTGTGTGTGTGTGTGTGTGTGTGTGTGTGTGTGTGTGTGTGTGTGTG